TGTCGATTAGCATATTCATCAACAAGTGTATGAATTGCTTGAATAACCAGTTCCGTTTCATTCCTCAACCGTTTTTTGTCTGCGTTCCAATAATCAACTGCTTCAATTTGTGCACTTAGAGCTTCATCCAGTGCTTGCATACGTTCTGCAGTTGCCTCTGCTTCCCTGAATTTTTTACTGACCGTGAGAAGTTCGTTTTCCTCTAAGTTCCGGAATTCTAATGCAGACAAACGATCGGTGCAGTCTAAAAGTGAAGAATTTCGTTCCTCCAATTCTCTGAGTAGTTCTTTCACTTTAGGGAGATCTTTTGTTGACTGGATGTTTTGCGACTTGTTGAGGAAACATTGGTCTTTCGCAAGTTCATCTTCAAGTTTTTCCAGTGCTTTTCTTATGCCTTCCTTGTATTCCAGCTGTTCAGTTTTGTCAGCAATCAAAGCCTAAAGTTTCTCGATTGTTAAGAAATTATAGCATGGACTATTAAAATAATCTAAAAAACAATTCCACCCTAAATTCGCTTACCTTTACTTTTTCAACAAAATCATGTTCACGTTGGATTTCTGGCTCCAAATTATTCAGCACGACATTGCTTTCAGCAATTTTTGAAGCTATTTCATCGGTCTTTTTCAGTAAATTGTTTTCCACCTCATCCTTTAGCTTAGCTAGTTCTTTCAAATCGCCATCTTCAAACCTTTCTCGGGACAATATAGCTGTTAGATTTTGCTCTATATTCTTCATATCTTCTGTAACTTGATTTAACTCTTCAGACATTTCCTTTTCTACAGCTTCTTGTTCTTGCTTCCTGGCACGAATCGATTGCAACTGATCAGCAAGCAATTTTACATCTTCACGCTCAACTGGTATTTGTTGAATTTGTTCTTCCAGTTTCAACAGTTCTTCCTCATTTGGTTCTGATGTCAAGGAAGTTTGCAAAGGTTTTTTTGAAAATTCTATTGTTGTAGCTTTATTGTCGTGTATCTGTTTTTTGGTTTGGAAGGTTGATGGGAAAGAAAGATCCGACGTTAGTTGACGTTCTGGATAAAGTTGAAGTTCGTGAGACGTGCCGTCGATCTTGTCTTCATAACTGGTTTGAAGTTCGGGGTAGGATGAGTGAGATTCGCTTGTTACGTTGTGTTTCTGTACTATGTCTTGCTGTGGGGAATCAAAAAGCTTGTGCGGATCAGTATCGTTTGTTTGTATATGTTGGAGTGTGTGGCCTGTGTCTTGTGGCAACTCTGGGGAATAAGGATGAGTTTGTTGGAGGAAAGCTGGAGCATGTTCTGTTGCAGGGAATTTCGTGTCCCTCGATGATGATTCCAGGGAAGCGTTTGTTGCCATCCGTATGAACTGCTGAATTATATCTCGGTCTTTTATGTGGTCTGCGTCAATATACTTCCTGTGTACGTTGTCTAGGTGATCGTTCATTTCATAAGCTGCTCTAAGGAGCTCCTCAGTTTCATTCGCTTGTGGCTAAAAAGTGTTATTAAGTTTGACTTGAAGAGTGTGCTTTCCCATAATTTTTTGTTGAAATTTTCTTTGATATGCTACACTTTGGACCGCTTTTTTCATGCACTATGCGTTTCGCTGCGCCCCGTAGGTTCGCCAGGAGTGCAAGCATTCTATTCATTCAATAGGGAGCATCACAAATTATAAAATCTAAGGAGGGTTAAAAAACTTTGAAGGTCAATTGCGTGTAAAAACTTTTGAATACTTTATAGCTGCTGAGTGCGCAAAATGCTTTAAGTTCATCAAGAAAGCGCTGAAGTCGTCGTTGGTCGTCAAGCTCCTCATTAAATTTCTCGTCAATGCTCTGAAATGCTACACGATAACATGTGGGTAACATATCTATGACTTTTAGAATGTGTATTTGCTGCAGTGTTTGAAAGAAAAAGACAGCGAGTTATTATGCTTTTGAAACTGTTAAAACACCTTAATTTTCAAGTTGCGCTGTATGATAGGTGTACAGTCGATGAATTTGTTGATAGTAAATAATTTTCTTAACGCATATTTAAAAAAATTTGTTTTTGCAAGCAAATAATTCAGATATACCTTGAAAAATTTAGTAGTTTGATCAAAATCTGCCTCAAGGAATCGAGCCTCTACGTCAGCAGCTTCCATTGGATGTAATGACTCTGATGTTTTTTTGATTCTTTTCATGCTTTCCCTGAGCTCTCGAAGTCGTGAACCGTTCATCTTAAAAAAATATTATTGTTTGAAATAATTTAATAAGATGTAATTTTCTGTAAAAAAAGAGGTGCTTTACATACATTTTCTAAAAAAAACCTCTAAAAAGAGTAACTTTGAACTGTAGTCAAGGCGTAATTCCATCTGCTAACCTCCATAGTCTTTTGAAGTTCTATGGCTTTTGAGAAGGAAACAGGCGATCCGTTTTCAATAATACTCAAAGCAGTACGAATTTCCTCCAAAACAGCCGCAGCTAGACCGACTTCATGTTTAAAGTTGTTCCAAACCTCGTATTTTTCTTTCACTTTCTGGTTCCACACTTTAAGCTCATTACTTAAAACGTTGAGGTCCTGATTTTGCGGTTTTTGTAAGTTTTCGTCAGGTACACTGGAAGACTGGGATAAAGCGTTTTCCGCTTGCAGGAAAACTTCCTCAAGAGTGTCAGGAGCGGTTGCCCTATCTTGCAACAAAAGTTTCTCCCTCTCAATTAATTTGCGTAAAGCAGCAATGACCTGTTCCTCAACTGGCAACTCATCTTGACCCGTTTCCAAACTGTTTTTTTGTTTTTCAATGTCGATCCTCTCTTTTATATCATTTTCAAGTTTCTGAAAAACAAATGGCATAATTCTCTTTTCCCCACTTTGAAATGGTTTACGTAAGCAGAAACATCAAAATTCTCTGCGATTTTCTTTAAGCCTATTATGCGCAAATAAATGAAGAAAATTAATTTCTGACCGGCCCAACCAAAGTACGACAATAAAACTTAGTTTCCTACTTCACTTTCCAACAACTTTTCGCTCACTTCTTGCATCAAATTACAACTTTCAGATGTCAGACAAGAATTTTAAAAAAATACGTGCAGCCTTACCAATATCGATTTCAGAATGACAACAGAACTTCTGACGTATTCAAACGTCTCTGGTGAACTTGACTGTGTTGCTTCCAAGGCACTTAGTATCTTCCGAAACTTTGATTTACTGTCAAGGACAGCAGAAAGGGATAAGTTTAAGCCATTTAAGTCTTGATGAGAAAAATCACAACTCAGAAGACCTTGAAGATTTTCATACATCTGTTTAGCTGCTTCCAGTAATTCCTTACTTTCTTCCTGTGGCACATCGACCTTATCACCAATTTTCTTTAACTTGTCTCTTAAAGCTACGAGATCTTCTCCTTGTCCTCCTGAAGTTTTTTCCAGTTCCTCATCAACAACCTGAAACTTAACACAGCTGTTAGTCCCCAGCCAAACAATGCCAAGGGCCTTAAAATAAATAAAAAATTTGTTTGCCTTTATAATGGTAGTAACTGTTCTCGAAACAAGCAAAATAATTCGCTTCCTCGGAGATGTCGTTTCTGAAGCGCTAATGAGAGGAGCTTCGACACTGTTTTCTACATATTTACGTCTAACAGAACACTGAGTTCGCAAATTTTCCAGTTGTAGCTCAACATGTTCAACTCGTCTTTTCACCTACATTTTTCACAAAAATAAAAGGTCACCTAATTAAAAAATAATGATTCCATCCGACTACAAAACTGAATTAATAAGAAATACAAATCATCAGCAGAAACCACTAAACTTTTCTGAAGAAAATAAATGAATAAATAACGAATGTTTACAGTAAATGAAAAGTAAATTTTAATTGAAAAAATCTCGTGAAAGCAGCGTTTTTTTGACTTAATTACTTTCATAAAGAAACAATTACGTATTTATCTCCTTTCATTTTCACTCTAATGAGTGCCTTGGTACAAAAAATTTACAAAAAATTACTTTAGAGACATCAATTCCTGCGCTGTGTACTTCTTGGCCCAATTCATTCAAATCTTTCAAGATCTGGTCGTAATTCAACCGTAAATCATCTTCGGCATCAATTTCAGACTTTATAGAATTCATAAGTTCCTGAATTATTTTAAAAGTTAACTCCCGATATAAAACTGTGTTTCTTAAATAAAGATTAATAATTTAAAAGACCTTAAAAACATATGATAACACATACATCAAGTGGATCCTTCAACTTTTCAAACTGGTAATAAAGCGCCTTTAATTTAGAAGCAGAATCGCCAGTGATTTTCCTACATAAATCTTTGCATGCGTCTTCAAAATCTTTCCTTCTCTCCGACAAATCCTAAAAGAGTTCAAATTTCAGAAAGTCGAGAAGTCTGAAAAAATTTAAAATCCTAAAAACTTTGTAAAAGCATGATAAAATATAAAGTGTTCTTTCATACAGCCAATTATTTACCATTACAAAATATTGTACGACATTAAATAATAATTGTAACCATTAAATGTTAGATGAACAAACAAACAAGCTTAACAAATCTCGCCAAAAATATAAAAAAATATGCAAAAAAGTTTAACCGCCAATCCATTATAATCAACAGTAGCTTCATCCACCGGCTTTAGCGACTTTGAATAACTTCCAGATATCACTCCCAGCTTCTCCGCCATAGAATGGAGTTCCCCATCAATTTCTGGGAGAAGCAATTCTATCTCGTCAGCACGAGATGCGCGAGATACCCGTGAAAACTGGAAATGATACACAGTTTGAAGAGCATACGAAGTATACAAAACAGGATAACTTTACAACAACTATAATACATATTGAGGTTAAAAACAAGTGCAAACCACAAAAGAATAATTATCTTACTGTTCCAGAAACTTTAAAAATTTAAACATTTCCACAAATCTACTTTACCAATTAGTTATTGAGAAAGTTGTCATATTTTCTCTTGAGGACCCGAATAGTATCAAATTACCAAAACTCAAAATCTCTCTTTGTAAGGTCACTAAATGTTGAAATAATGTGCACTGCTATCCCATAAAACACAAAAAATCCGATTTATAGAGCAGATTAAAAGTACAGGTAGAGAAAACCTAAAAAAAGATCATGCTTTCATATGGGTCAAGCACCAAATTTTTCAAACTCTCCCTGCTAATGTTAAAGAACCGTTTAATCTTATAAATCTTTTTCAACAAACATTTAAATGTTAAATTTGTAAATTTTGAAACTCGCATTATTTGCCATGCTTTCTGCCGGAGTTTTCCCAAAACTTAAAAACACCAGCCCAAAAGATTTCGCACAAAATTTAAACAATAAAAAATGCTCCAAACACCTGAATTAACCAAATTCAATGTGTTTTTTAATCCAAAACCTTTCATTTAACTGCTAAAGTATCTTGCATTACAAGTAATGGTGTAAATCCTCTGACCCCAAAAATTTTTTGTCACTTCACTTATTAACCTAAGTGACGTCCATTTTCTTTATTTTTAATTGCCAATTTGCATGCCGCAAGACATTTGTGCCCTTCGAAAGAAGAAATGAAGCAAAGTGGAACAACACATGAATAGTAATCAAAACTGGAAGTTTCTTTTGTAACTACAGGTATAACACTTTTACTCACCTCGGTACAGCTAAATGCTCTCACATAAGTAAGGGATACTGTTTAAGAGCAGTGCGACGCAACAAATGGTCAGTAAATTAACAACGAAAACAAAACAATGTTACAAAATTCCCATATCTATGTTTAAAAAACCCAGATCTTTATTTGACAATTTGAAATTGTATGTTGTTAGAGTTACTATAATACTGCAAAAATGATCTGAAATACAACAACTACAATACTGAAATAACTAAAAGGTACATCGAACCAAATTTTACACCAAGTATTTACCAGAGTTGGTTCCTCAGAGTTCTTTATTACAGCCAGTTCCTTTTCTACAGCCCGTATGTCATCGTCGAAATCTTCACGCGTACCGGGAGTAGACGGTGAGTCGAAAGAAACCTTTAAAAAGCAGATTTCACACTGCCTATAACGATTATAGATGCAATTCAATAACATGAAATAATAAAGTTGAACAAACTTCAAGCTGCCCTGAAGTCGAAGGAAGTTCTTCATCCAAATGAACTGGAACTGAAAAACCATGTAACTTCCATTGGGAAAGTGCATCTACAAGTGTCCGATACCGCCTGCAGTATCCCATAATTTCTTCTGCGCGATCTGATATGAAATGAGTATTCTCTAGTTTTAACACTAGGTCCTGATATTTTTCACAAGATTCCCTCAAATTCATCATATCCTTTGCAGAATTTTCAACCAAATTAGACGCTTCAAGACATTCCACCTCCTTCTCCGCAAACTTCAACCACTTCGCAAACGATTGCAGTTTTTCGTAAAGTTTCTCCTCACGGCGATTTCTTTTCGCCATCTTATTCTTAAACCTTTTAATTTTCCCATCTAAATCAAAAGAGGATTTTTCCAATTCCTTGAACGGTTGTTGCGTCGACTCCTCCACGGACAACGACCTTTCCAACTGAAAATATCTTGTAGTCTCCTTTCAATTTTTTACTCAATCATGATTGTGGCATCAAATGTCACTTCTTGACAATAACTCGAAGAACAAACAAGCAAACAATTCTAAACACGATATGGTAGATAATGCACAGAAAAAGCTAAATGTCATTGAACTTCAGCAAAAAAGAAAAAGTACGGTTCCTTCCAAGCCCTCACCAGGCTTAATTGATAAAAAACTAACCTTGTCCAGATAAAATTTCCAAGGTGTCCACAAATCTTCAATAATTTTTTCCACTCCATGAAGATTAAGAGCTTGAAAGCATTTCATCATTTCAGCCTCAATATTTTTTTCCTGTTCCTTAAGCCATAAAAGTGTTTCGTCGATGAGGTTACGGTCAACATTACTAACACCTATAACCGCCTGCACTTTTGCCCTCAAGTCTTCTAGCACCTAAACGAAAAAATAATTTTCAGTAAAAAAGTTGTAGAAGTGAGAAGCTGCTAAAGAAAAAAAATTAAAATAGTGATTTCAAACAACCATCAATAACAAAACTAGCAGTAGTAAAAATGTCTCAAGACAAAACAAACTTCTTCAGCACTTCTCCTCTCCTCCGTTGGTAATACTGCTAGCATTTCATAAAGTTCGTTGAGCTCCCTTCTCTGTTCAATTTGCAGCAACTGAAAAGTGAAGATGAAAAAAATAAAATCATCAAGCTTACGCCAGCGGAAGACAACTTATCATACACTTTCAAAAACTAAAAAGCAAAGTAAAAAAGTTCGAGTTAGAAAAATAGTTCAAAAAACCTGGAACGGCGCTTCCAGATTAACTTGTTCGGCTGCACCAACACTATCGGGAACCGTCAATGAACTATCCAACTGAGTAGCTTTTACAATGAATTCTTGGAATTCTTTAGATGGTTCCAAAAAGCGTTCCTGAATTTGAAAGGTCTTTGAAACATAAGAGAGAAAGTGAATTTTACACTTTTGATAAAACTCTTACTTGCAAAGGACGCTCTGTAACAAATCCAAACGTTTTCAACGCACTTAAATCAGTAATTCTCATCAATCCTTCCTGCTGTAATAATTCAAGACTGTTCTCGACTTCGACGATTTCAGATTTGTCAAGAATTACATAAGCCTAAAACTGTCACTTATCACTTCTAATTTCTGTTTACTCAAGTCCAGGAAAGATTTGGTAAAAAAAGACACCTAGCTTTTTGAGTACTTTATTAAACAGCCAAACAATTATTCTGTAAATTCAGGAAGACTAAAAATTAACTGTCTCTATTTCAGCCACTCTCTAGAGGAATAGTTTTTAGTACATATAAAAAGTTTAACACGACTATTTCTGTACACAGGAGATTCAGTTTCACTAGGGATTGAGATGTAAAAAGAAACTGTTGAGAGCATATGTTTAACAAGCATTTTCAAACCACAAATGATGTTTGAATCTAGAAACCGTCAACTTCTCGATTGTGTATAGATGATCTTATAATCCAGTTACTTAACGTTTCCAACAGATAAAAAATTTAATTGGCACCCAATAATGGAAAGGAATTAGTAAACCTTAACAAATAAAAGAAATTCCAAAATAAAATTAAAATTGTTTTAAAATATACAGAAAGAAAAAAATTACTGAAAAGAAAAAACACAAAACCGCCTTGCCTCTGGCGAAAGATCGCCATTATCGAGTAAAATATTTCGAGCTTCGCGGTTTTGAAGATGCTTTTTGAACTCTCCAACCTCTGTAACCAATCGTTCTCTAGTCGTCATCAAATCGTGAATTCTTGAGAGCCGAGTCAGAAGCATACGGAATCTGGAGCAGAGGTAGGTCATCAGCCAAAGAATAAATATATAGATTAGGAAGACATTCATAAAAAAACAAGTGAAAATTGCAAACCTTTCTTTGATACGGTCACATTCCAACTGAAAGAATGGAGCCTGAATGGCTTCAATCTGATTGTACAGATTTCTTGCCTCGGGTTCCAACTCATTTTCTACCTTTTC